CAACTCGGTACTCGCAAATATATAAAATACTAAAATCTCTGTGTCTCTTTCTATTGTGAAGGTAACAAGATATTGCAAGTTTAAATAAATTGCCCAACACAACACGTCTAGAAAGTGGCATAGTGAAAAATTAAACCTACACACACCACACGGTCTGTATTCCTCAGCTCTGGTCTACACTGCCTGAAGGACTTTGGGGAAGGACTTTAAATACAGAGGCAGTGCCAGTGGGGCTGCTCACCTTAGAAATGGGCATGAGGGTAGACTGCCAGCCTGGGCGCCATGGGCAGGCCGGGCATCGCTGTTTGCCTGGGAGCACAACGCTCGCTCTCCCTGCCCTGTTGTTAAAAAGGACGGGATCCCTCGTGCCCTCCAGTTGTCCCGACATAAGGACTAGTTAACAAAGTCATTCTATGAAAAATCTATTTGTGCTGGTAGACCACAAATTTTCATTTCAAGGTCGAAAACAAAACTTAAATGTTGAAATTAAGGCTACTTGTCAGATGAAGGAGTCAGTAGTCATATTTTAACAATTTGTCAAAGGACAATGAATAAACACGAAACTGTTCATACAGCACAAGTTGAGACAGGGCACCGACACTCCGTGTTACTTTGTGTCTTTCTGCCATACATTCGCACAAGGGAAAGCAGCCCTGCCACACCTCCCCACAGCCGATAAATTCAGAGGCAGAAGTGGCTCAAGAACGTGTGGGCTCCCAGCATAGTCGAGGAAAAATCAACTGTTTGAATTAACAACACCTAAAATGTGCCATCATACTGAAAAATTCCAAAGCATATGTCTCTTCACTGAACGTGAAACAAACAACATGAATGACTCTTTCTGAGAGAAAAAGGAACATTGTACAAATGGATCATAACTGCCATAAACTTATAATTTTACAGGTCTGTTTTATTTTACAATGATAGGTTTACATTTTATAATAATATCCTTATCACCTATTATTCTCTAATAAATTCATAACCTAGTATTATAAATAACATACTATTAAAGTTGGAACAAAATCTACCAACTTAACCCTTTCTGTCCCTCAAATTTATAGATGTCTTGGAGTGTGATTTTATAAATTGTGAATTAAGTATGCTATTAAAGTGAATCTCTACCATTCATATAACATGATGCTTATATTAATTTTATTTGTTTTTAAAAATTCAACCTATTAGTTGCTTCAAGTAGTTCTTAAAAACTGTAGGATATTTAGCATAATAGATTCTAAGTCTATTTATATGAAAACAATAGACCTCTAATATAAATAAGCCAATATAAGTAAATAAGAAGATTCTCTCCCAGAAGAACCTTTGGACAAAGTCACTGAATAGGAAGGGCACCCGCATGCTGACCCTGTCTGCTGGCCATCCCTAGGCGTTGATGACCAGCCGTTCACATCCCTGAGCTCATGCACAGCTCAAATCCCACGAAGTCTGTGGTTTGTCCAATTTATTTTGATGGCCTTGGGTTTGTTACACCACATTAAGCATGTTTATGAAGCCCCTGTCAGGGCCACTGACAAACTTGGCCTTGTTATTACCGGCGAATAGCTTTAAAGTTTGCTTTTCATCAAAACACAAAACAAAAACCAAACGTGACCCTGTCCTTTAAAGAAGGAAATTACATGGGCATTGGTCAACTTGTTACCGCAGTAGCTGCAGTGTGTCCTTGGTGCCCCAGGAGGAATCAGCCTGGTGGAAGGGAGGCAGTTGGGCTGCTCCCCTCCTGGTAGCCTGGAGAGCACCCCTCGCTCTCACATGCATGCACAGCAACCCCGATCCAGTCTCCTTTCCCACGCAGCCCTGGGGGGACATTCGGATTTAAGCCATTGCAAGTTGCTCAACTGCATTTCCCAATGTGCTGTTTCCACAGGAGAAGAGGAGTCATTGGTGCCTCCTCCCCGTTGAGCCTCATTTTCACGATGAGCAGCCTCACCCTATTCTGCAGAAGTTAAAAATACTGAAAGCAGCGATACTTAAGTTCCACATTAATTTAGTGTTCCCAGCACTGCTGGTAGAAGATGGTCTCAAGAGGGAGACTTTCCTGTGAGCCTGCACAGCACCACAGCCTCCGGCCCAACACCGCCTGAAGCAGAACTCAGATCCACACCAGGCCCTTCTTTTACCTGGATTATGATGGTGCCAGGAGGGGCACTTGTCGAGAGCTTGACTTGACTCTAATAAATACTATGTGTATCTCTACCGAGAAAACAATGTTTTCTCCAAAGATGTATGCTTGAATGGTGCTAGAAAAATGAAGTGTCCAAATGCAGAAGAAGTGTAAGACTTAAAACCATAAACATACTAAAAGCAGACCTATAGCAAACCTTCAGAATATGGCTGTGGGCAAGGATTTTTTGGACAAGATTCCAAAGCTCAGGGAAAATAAACAGAGCACTAAGAAACATCAAACTGCACACTTTCTGTACCACAAAGGGAACCATCAGAGAACAGCAGAGACTGAGAGAAAATATTTGCTAATTATACATCTGCCAAGTGGTAAACGTCCAGAATAGATAAGAAACCACCAAAACTCAGCAGCAAAAAGCAAGTAATCTGGTTAAAAACAGATGAAAGAACCAAACTGACATTTCTCAAGAGGAGATAAAATGGACAATGGGTATCTGCAAACGTGAGTTCAGTTTTCATCAAGGAACTCACCTCATTGACATCAGAGAAATGGGAGATGGTGTGTGCTTCGTAGGCATGGAGATTAGGGCACTCATGCTGGAAAACAGCTCAGAGATTCCTCAAAAAGTTGAAATGAAGCCACGACATGACCTGGCCATTCCACTTCCACTGTGTGCCTGAAGGACGGAGTGATCGTGCCAGGGACATCTGCACCCCAGGTTCACAGCCAGGCCCGGAGTCCACCCAAGTGTCCATCATCGATGCCTGAGGAAAGAAGCCGCAGCGTGTCCAGAAAGACACGGTGTGTGGTCCGAGTTGGGGCACTTTCATCCACAGGAGCCTGTGAATCTTTGCTGCTTGGGACGAGGCAGATGGAGGGATCACCAGGTCATGTGAAAACAGCCTGGCACTGAAACACAAGTGCCACGTGATGTGTCCCACGTGTGGAGTCCAGCAGAGTGGGTCTCGTGGCAGCTGAGAGTGCACTGTGGTTTGTGCTTACTCGCTGCTTGCAGAGTGCTGGTCCACAGCACAGTGACTGCAGGGGACAGTGCTGTAATGCACATTTCAAAAAGCCAGAAGGGGTTTTGTGTGTTTTCACTAATGAGGAGAAGCACGTTTGAAGAGCTGGATGTATCTAACCTGATTTAAACATCACACAAGGAATGCACAATGTAACATCACGTAACATCCCAACAGAAGAAGGAGCAAATGCAAACAAAGACATAAATCAGGAGGGGAAGAAAGGTTGGAGGGCAAGGAGAAAGGGGAAAAGGATTAAGATATAAGTAGGAGTACAAATGCCCCCGATGGGTGTGACCATTATGTATGACAAAATGTACTAATACAAAAATTGTGATTTGTATGTATCACTTAAAAATAGATCTAGTTTAACTAAGAAATAAAGTAAAATGTTGTATGAACCCAGGAATCAGCCAACTTGGTGCCCCAAAGTGTACCCTGATATTCGGTTTGCCGGGGTGTGTTTCAGCTCTGCCAGGGTAAAGCGACTGTCACCCAGATGACACTGGCATGACAGGCGTCCCTGCTCATAGGGTGGCAAGACAGTGATGGCTGCTGCGGTGAGACGAAGAGCCAGGCATCCTGTGTGCCATTAGAGCCCGTCATCACGCAAACAGCCTAGCAGTGGCCAAACCAGGCCACAGAGGCCTTGCAGAGGACCCAGCTCAGAGAAGAAACTGCCCCCTTTGTGTGGCAGCGGCGAGCCTTGCCCTCCTCACTCCTGCTCTTACACACTGAAGAGCTGGCCCTAGTTCTCCCCTTCCCGAGGAACTGCAGACACTGTCCCCCGCCGAAAACCCGGTCTTCACCCGCATTTGCTGTCGCTCCAGGAAAGGCGTTTGTCAGCAATCTGAAAATCCGAGGCGAGGCTGTGGGAGGGACCCAGGCATCAGGCCCACGCAGTCACCGCGTGGAGACACGGAGGTGACAGCCGCCTGCTAACCCGTGAACCTGAGTTAAGTCTGCCAGCCCTCATTTAGTGTTCAGAGACTCAGTACTGCATTTTGTAAACGGAAATCCAAGTTCTGAAAACAGAATACTGTAAACAGAATGAGGGGGTTTGTTTCTAACGACCGCGGAGATACCAGGGCGGTGTGGAGACAGAAATAAAAGCGAGGTGCTGCCTGGCAAACCTAGGGCAAATTGGGCCTGTCCGCTCCTCTTCCAGTTATCTTGGGTAAACCCTGTCGCAGAGACCAGCGGCGAAAGCTCTCCAGGCCAACGGAAGGCGCACCAACAACTGCGGAGTGTTAGCCTCTGGGAACTCGCCCCCCAGACTGGGTCGGGCTGTCTGACGCAGCGATGAAGCCTGTGCCATGTGAGGGCACGCGGAGGGAAGGGCACCAGGCTGGGAGCTTCCTGACTGCTGATGCTGGCCTCCGGCAGGACGTCAGCTCTAATTTATGGTCAGAATAATTCTCAGTATTTCTTCAGCTATTCCAGTACCAGTAGAAGAGCACCAGAACGTAAGAGACTGCATTCGAGGGCTCAAAACAGCACATCCGGTGAGCACATCCGCGCTCCTCCTGCTCGTGCTGCCCAGCGAGCGCTGTCAGACCCAGACCACTGCTCTCGTCTCATTTGCCGCTCTCGCTGTCTGGTGTCACCAACGGACCGATTTTCAGACCTGCAGCGCAACACAGCAGGGCGCTTTTCCGGCCAGACAGAGCAAAAGGAAGAAGGGCCTGAGAGGAGACGTGGCTGCCTGGAGGGTATGGCAGGGTGACTGTGAGCGGTGCCAGGCGGACAGGAGAGGAATGGTGTGGTCCATGCAGGCGGCTGCCTGCCTCGCACACCTGCTCCCGGCCACCACCCCCGTGACCCTGGGTGCAGCTGCACGGCTCCTCCCTCTCAGTTCCAGGAAAGTCCTCAGGGACTCACACATGTGCCACAAGGACACCCGCAGCCACAGCGGCCCACAGACTCCTGCCTGCTCCTTTGAACCTGCTGGGCAGGGCCCAGGGACTCTCGGCCGCACTCTGCCCCGGGGCAGGCTTGGCTGCGAGTCTCTCTGCGCCTGGTGTCTCCACGCGTGTCCCCCCTGGCTCTCCAAGCCATCGGCCCCCGCACGGGCCTCTTCCTGCACCAGCCTCTGTGTAATAACCGCCCTTCCGTGCCTCCACACATCTTGCGCTGCCTTTCAAGGCCCACTGCGCAGGAACCTGGCTGCTTTCCCTGTCAGGAACTTCTAGCCCGTCTGGAGTTACAGACCGCAGCACTCAATAAAGAAGGATTAATACCAACGCTCTGCTTAGTCATGGCACCCAGGTATGTCTGTGTGGCTGGAGATGGTGTGCTGGCGTTTTGCTGAGTTTTTGCATCCATTTTAAGGACAGACGGTTCCTATATGTGCAATGGCTCCTGCTTAACTTCTGATATTTATAATTTGAGTTTTTTCTTTGTGAATCTCAATTGCATACTCACCAATTTTAACCTTATAGAAAGCTGAAAACTTGATGACTCCAGTGTATTGAGGTGAAATAAAACTGTCCCCCAGGCTAACGTGGACGATAGAAGGCGACCCTCTGAACTGCCTTTGGGAGAAGAGGTTTTGAGACAACGTTTCACTACTGTGAGTGGTTAGTAGTTTTTTTGCCTTGAATGATGATGACAAGAAATTGAACTGAAAACAACTTTAGCTGTTTGCAATTGTAGAAGCACAGAAGAAACCAAACAGATTTCTGCAACCATCAGGGAGGGAGCTGCAGCTGCTGATTTTATGAAATGACAGCAGATGAGGTTGAGAGCAGTACAGGTAAGAGTCAGGTGATTAACACAGAATCTCTGAGAGGCTGGAGGGGGCTCCTGGAAGGATTAATGCTGCCCGGGGGGAGGCAGGCAGTTACCTTTCGGCTGAGGCTTCCAGCAAACTGTCAAAGCCATCAAGCCCCAGAGGTGGAGCTGCCGCCACCCACAGGTTCCACCGTGGGGAACATGGCATTGCCCTTCGCCTCTTAGAACCGGCACTGAGCTTTGTGCAATTAAGGATGGAGGTGGGGAGCAATCAATCCCCTGCTTTCCACAGCTACACTAACCTTTCAGTTTGTTTACATGCATAATGTAGCTCTTATTCAGATATATGCTTTAATGCTATGGAATGTACCCCTGATAGTAACATTGTGAGTGCAATCAATATTTGATGTCTGTCCGCTAGGTTCCTCCAGTCCGGAAAGTTGAAACTGGAGGATAAGTAAATTTCTTAGGATCAAGGAGAGAGGAGACCTTGGTCTCTGGATTCCACCACTGTCATATTAATTATACTGATTCTCTGAGATTTACTCAGTATTGCTCTATGAATGATCCTGGTTTATATTTATGTTAATCATAGAAGTGACAGTGCAAGAAATTTTTTAAAGAAACTTTAAAAATATAGGCGTTCTTAGCATATTATTTTTTGAGAAGGCATTAAATCATGCAGGAACTAAAATATCTGTGGTCATAAAAAGCACACAGATTGGCTTGATTTTAATAAAATGTTGGCTGCATCTGGCTTCCTGACTTATGTGATAGGCGACATTTAGGGTTTAAAGTGAGCCCTGGCATTCCCATCTGCTCAGATCCACACTTCTACAGCTGACTGTGTTCACATGTGTCTGTCTCCAAGCTGTACACACCATCTGGTGTCCTGATGTGGATGAAAATCTCCCTGAGGACAGACACTGTTGTTTTACTATAGCTAGCAAGGCTTTGGAGCACATGGTAAGGGTGTAAGATATTTTTTAACCCGTTCAATGAATAAAATCATGTATATTTCACTTTTCTTGTCAAAATCAACTTTTACTTCCCTTTAGTGATTGGTAATAGACTATTCAGACTAATCTTAAATTTTATTTATCTCTATATAGGTTTATTTCCTTCTGATTAAGAAATTTACATGAATAGCCCTTCTTATATTCTATATTGAAGATTTCAAGGATTAAATTATATATATACATGTATACATAATCTGTTAAGGAGGTTTTAAGAACTATTTTTGTTAAAAGGAGTACACCGGCCTCAGCCAACAGTAATCTGTCTGCTGAAGAGATAAAAATAAGTTTTGACCTCAAAGTTCTTACATTATAAAATGACTTTTGGTAAAAGTTTGATGTATGTGTAATTATTAATTAAAACTTTAAAAGAAAATGATAAAATTTGCTAAGTCTATAAAAAGAACATAATTTTACGCTGCTTTATCTTTATGAAATTTAATTTCATGATTAACCAAAAAGTTGTAAACTGTCATGAAGACATTTGATCAATCCAATTTCAGTCAAGTTTTGGAAATGTGGAGACAATGCTATAAAGATTGATATTTCCAAGTTAGAACAACAAAATCCATGGCTCTGCAGGGTTTAGGAGCCAATAGATCACCTGTTTTTCTCACAAAATGTTCTTCCTCTTAGAAACATATTCATAGTATTTCTGTGCTGTCCCACTGCTACTTGACATCATCCACAGATTACTGTAACCTTGCTGCATTTTAAAAGGAACCAATCTGCCACATCTCTGTATACCAAACTTATACACAAATCACCTGATGCTGGTTGGGTCCTTCAACAATTTGCATGATGCAGTCGGGGAAAGATCATGCTTTTAGAATTAAACACCTTTATAGGCATTCAGGTAAAAATTTTTTATTACAACTTCTTCTCTACAATGTCCTGGAATTGTGTGTATAAGAACAGGTTTTCATCTTAAAAATCTACATTAATGTTTCAAGTTTTAAAACAACACTAATGTCTGCAGAACAAATTCTCTTTTCTGCCCCCTAGGATGTTCCCCAAAGGTTTCTACTTTACTTGTGGCTGCCAAACTAGTCTTTTCTATTTACTTATTCTATTTAATACATATGTATGTATTCAATCCTAAAAGAATGTCGTTCAGCTGTATCTAGAGTTTAGGAATGACAATTTTTCTATTTCAATTCAATTTTGTTAAATTCAAAACTCATACATCCAGCCAAGAATTTTCCTCGGTTGATACTGACTAGAGCAACGATGTCCTCTAAGAATTTCTCTTGGAAGGATAAGACAGGGAGTCATAGAAACACATATTTACTTGTTTAGTGAAATAAAATTAGAAGTGGTATCACAGAGCCAGGAAAGCTTTTGCTCCATGTGTTGGAAATCCAGCACCACTAACTCTGCATTAAGAAGTCTTTTTATTCCCAAGTACATAAATCTATGCAGATAACACATTCAAACTTGCTCACACTGAATATTAAACAGTTCTCTTACTTTCACTCTTTGACCATTATAAAGCTTGCATTGTACTATTAGATTTTAAAAATGATTTTACTAAGAATAATGCATAAGACATTAGCTAAAAAGTGGACAAAAAGCTATTTCTCTGGTAATATTTGTTAGTGCTCAGGAGCATGAAATCATTTATCTTCAACTCTTTTGAAAGTTTTGAGGAATAAATAGTTACAGATGAATTAGAAATCACCACATATGTGTCATGATTTCCTGTTACTAAAGGAAGCACACTGAAATCTGAGATCAGCTAGCACATTTAATTTTGGAAAATATAAGATAATATTGCCAAAGATTTAAAATTTTTTATATGTGTGAATAAGATAAAATGAGAACAGTCTTAAATTTCCTTAGATCATTTGTTATTGTTACTCAATCTTAATATCTTTTCATTAAAAGTTCTTGACTTAGGTTCTTATTTGTGTGTTTTGTATAGCTGGAATTACATTTTGGTTTGCAGATAGCGAACTACACAAATATGGATGTGCGATTCCATCAATGCCGATGATAAACTCACTCCACCCAATCTATTAAACAGGAAATATTTCCATTACCCGAAAGAGTTGCCTCATGCCCTAGCCTCTTTTTTTCCTATTTGGAGAAACAGTCTACACTGATTCCATCACCCTGGGTTATTCAGTCACTGCTCTTCCTAGAGGGAACTCTACAGCATGCTCTTTTGTGCCTCTTTCCTAATTATATCTTTAACTGATGAAAATTTTGATATAGATATATTTATCAATGTATACCTTGATACCTTTTTATGATTGATGATTTCCTAAAATTTATTTTTAATGGGTACATAAAACATAAACATCATATATACTTGTGGGTACCTGCGATGCCTTCATGGACATATACACTATAATATTGAAGCCAGTCAGGCATATCTTTCTCCTCCAACATTAATAATGTTCTTATGGTAAAAGCATTCCACGTCCTGCTCTGTGGCTTTTTGACACACATGTACAAGACTGTTGTGTGTACTCACCTACTGTGGGGCAGCATACTGGGTCTCTTGTTCTGATACAACTGTAACTTAGTCTTATTAATCAACGCCCCCTGCCCAGATCACTGCAGTCAGATTCCAGTACCCTGCCCAGTATATGACAGAAAGAAATACACTAGGAGACAGAACTAAGAGAGAGAAAGGGAGCCAGGATGACCAATGCTGGTGCAAACAACAAAGGCTCTGGCCAGTCCCAGGCACTGAGTTTTATTGGCAATCAATTGGGGTAAAGGCAAGCTCTTTGCAGTTTCTATGGAAATTAATGTAAACAAGGCTCATAAAGGACAAGACACAGCATTCTCAAATTAGGAACAGAGCAGACAAAGTATACCATTGTAATGAGAACATTGTCCTTGGTTTAAATTGTGGGAACGGAATTTGGGTGCAAGTTACTCTGGCCTTGGTACGTAGGCTTCTGCTGGATTCACTCCTATAAACAAGCCAGTTGTGGGGTTCCCTCTTCATAGCCCGCTTTGGGCATAATCATTACTATGGTACCCCGCACCCTCAGTCCCCAGCCTCACCTCCGGTAGCCAGCTTGGTCCCGGTTCCTGCAGGTCTCCCTTTAGACTCCCCTGAGTGAGAACCTGTGGTATTCGTGTCTCATTCCCTGGATTGAAATCTGCTCCCCTCAGATCTTTCCACTGCCTTGAAGAAATTTTGCAGTTGTCTGCAGCCTCATTTGTCCTTTTTGTGTTTGTTTCCTGTGCTTTTGGAATCTTGTCCACAATACCATTGCCTGTGGCCATGACCTTAGCATTTGTCCTCTGTGTGCTACTTCATTTACATCCCTATTCCACTTTGAGCCCAGGCCACCTGGGACACCCCAGTGTGCTATTCTGTCCTTTCCTTTTGCTGCCTTACAAATCTTCCCTTCAAACTCAGATTTGAAAATAGTGATTATAATGACATTTATGGGTAGACTCTGTCCACTTACATCTGACTTTTGCCCTTTGACCTTCCTGTATCTAAATATTGGTATCCTTGTCTAGTTAGTCTTTCTGATCTGTTAAAATATTTATGAAATTAGAATAAGAATAAAAGCTTTACTTGAAACTACAGTGAGAAAACAAATTTGTAAATTCTCTGATAAATTAAATATGTTAATATCTTTCTTCGATCCAGTGGAAGGCAGAAGTATAGATGTTATAAAGCCAATCATGTATACACATGGAGACCAGTGGAAACAAAGTAATATCAAAACACACAGCGAAGGATGAGCCCTGCCATACCTGGGCCCCCCCACCCTGGCCCTGGGAGCCACTCTCAGCCAAGTGGCCCAGGGCCTGGCCTGCTCCCCTGATCGGGCACAGCTTGAAAAGGATCACTGAGACCAGAGACCGAACTTGAGATTTGCAAAAGTGAGAGGCAGCTAGGACGGCAGTCCTGGGCTGTATATTACTTTCCTTCAAAATGCTTTACTACATCTAGAGCTGGTGGTCTCACAAGATACATTAATCTTCTTCAAAAAAATTCTACTTTACCCATCTCAAATATGTAATTATGTGAGAATACTGTGAAATGCTTTATGTGTAATTCATAAGGACTTCATTTGATTTCATACAATGACTTTTTTCTTTGAGAAAGTATCTTATAAGATTCTCCACAGGAAATACCTTATAAGGCCATGCCAGGTATTTACTTGTATTTTATTTTATTTGCTTTTAAATTTTTATTAGTATATGTTTGAGCTTCATGATAAAGATATTCATCCTGGGGAATTGGTACACACTATCAGGTCTTGAGCTTTCTACCCCTCCTCCCTTCTCTTCCCTCCCAGATCCCACTCTCAGGTTGTATTTTCATGTTCAATTTATGTAATGATCTGTGCAGAGGCTGTAATCTGTGTGACACTAAATATCCTTCACGCTACAGAGCTTCTTCTGAGCACGAGGTCCAT